TTTAGAGATAAACACAAATTTCCCAAACAAGCATTCAACAAAAGGAGCAGTAATTACAAGTCAAAGAACAGCTCAGTTGAAAAGAAAGAAATCTAATATCACTACTAGTTAGTAAAAACTCCAACAGGCAGCAAAGCCATGAAAGAAATGATCAAATTGAGAGAAGCTAGGAAAGAAAGAACACTAACCAGAGTCTGGATTTCTTGTTGAGGTTAGACAAGATAGATAGCAGTAGCACTCAACAACGAAGGGGTTTTTTACTGTTTATTTATTTAATTGTTGCTGCGTACGGAAGATTGGAATTAATAACAGGTCACCCTCACCAGCCCGTCTCTCTGATTAAAAATGGTGATTAGTGGTAGTTTTATTATGATTCTGCTTCTGATTTTTGCTTGTTTAGTCTAGAGAGAACGGGAGCGAGGAGGGTGAGGGAGAGATAATACTGGCGCGCGCCTGCCCGACAGCCATCTAGCTTTAGGTTTATTTTAACACTTCGGTGGAACCATGTTTTTAAATATTTTTTATTTTTAAAATTTTAAATTTTATATATATATATATATATTCAAATACATTTTTAAATAAAAATATTTTAAAAAATAACATATAAGTCACTCCCGATCAAATTATTAACGAAATGGTAATGGCTTGTCTTTTTCTTAGTTCCTGTTTTGGTTTTTATTTTATTTTAACAGACATTTACATTGGTTGGTTGGTAGCTAGACGCCAAAATCTCTCCCCGCCCCCCCAGAAAACAAAAAAAAAAAACACGTGGGGTATCCTAGGAAGCTTTTCTTTGTACGTATAAAAATTGATAAGTGCGTGAATAAAAAAAAAAGTTATCTTTGAAATTACAATAATATGGTGATGTAAAGTATTTTTTATTTAAAAATATATTAAAATAATATTATTTTAATTTTTAAAAATTATTTTTAATATAAATATATTACAACAATCTAAAAATATAAAAAATATTAAATTAAAATTAAAAAATTAATTTAAAAAACATAAATTATATTGCATTTCCAAACAAATCCTAGATAAATTAAACTAAATAGAATTAATTAAACTAAAAAAAAATACAATAGCTAATAAAAATCTGTGATTAACTGATAAGCTAGCACAACAGCTAAGAATTGCGTGGTTTTTTAGAGTAAAAATGTTTTTTTTCTTAATCTCTTTTTTATCCCCAAAAAATCACTTATTACGTGAGCTTTGCAGTGGCTCTTTTGCATTCTTCTTTTTCTTTACGGCTTTCTTTACTCATTTATTACGTGAGCTTTGCAGTAGCAGCTTTGCATTCTTCCGTTTGCTTGTGTAATTATAATTATTTTTTAAATATTATTTTATATTAAAATATATATTAATAATATTTTTTATTTTTAAAAAATTATTTTTGATATTAGTACATTAAAACAATCCAAAACATGCAAAATTTATTAAATTTTAATAAAATAAATAATTTTTTTAAAAATGCAGTGTAAACTTTATTACAACAACCTAGTATAGGAAGATATTATTTTTTTTCCTTTTCAAATTTGTTATATAACCTTGATTATAAGTGATAATAGGTGATTTATTGCCTTTATTTTGTTTATATCAAGTCACAATTAGTAATAAAGTATTAAGAATAAATATTGATAACATCCTTATTAATTTGCATTTATTTTAAGTATTTTAGCAAGTAATTTTTCTCAACATTCAATCTGTTTATATATTATTTATTCTTAAAACTGAAAATTTAATCAAGAGTTTATGCTAATTTTACTAAGTTTAGGTAATCAAGAGTTCGGTAGTTTTATATTCATGCAAATTACTTCTACTTAATTTAAACATCATCAACAAAAACTTGTAAAAAAATATTAATTTATATATTTTATATATATTAGCTCATAAAATTATACAATTTTAGAAATTAATTCATGATTTTAACAACAATCCGTGGTTTTTTTTCTTTAAAGTTTTCAATTCCGATCTCCCTTCATTCTGAAATTTTTTTAAAAAATTCTCCTGGCAGAATTATAAAAGATAATACACAGATATTTACAGATTAATTCCTGATTTATCTCAACAATATTTAATAATTTCAAACAATCCAGACTCTATGCAAAGATAAGATTCTCTATCATTTCTTATCTAATTCCATTCTCTATTATCCTTTTTCTTTCTTCTCTGTTTTATGGCTTCCAAGAAAAGGCGGTGCGAGTGATATTCTTTTTTAATTATTTATTTCCATGGAAAGTTTATTTTAGTATATTTTATCTTTATCAGTTTACTTAAAGGAAAAAAAAAAGTTTTATAAGTCGGTTACCAATAGGTCCAATACCTTATGTAAAAGTTGGGTGGAGCAAAATGCCAAAATAAATGCTGAAAAAAAATATCTAAAAAAAATATTGATTTAATATTTTTTAAAATAAAAAATAAATATTTAATATTTAAAATAAAAATAAAAAGTAGAAGTTTATTATATGTGTGTGTGTGATCTTAACCCTGTCTACATCTTATCCCTGTCTCCGAGTCAATTGATACAGAAATCAATAAAATAGGTCAACTGGTCACGGTCAACAGTTATCATAAAATAAGCGGTTAGAGAAGTGCTAATCTGAACATTCTAAAAGTATGAGTACCCAATTGAACTATTTTGAGACCATCTGTCTCCATGCATTGGCTTCTTAATCACTTGCTTGCCGTGATTCCTGGCCCCGGATCACGTTGGTGGTGACCGAACGGCGAGAATCCCGGCAGTGAGGTTGCTAGGATTTATAGAAAAGTTCAATTCGGTCCCTATTTTCTTCAAAAATGCAAATCGATCCATTTCGAACTACCTAAATCATGGTAGTTACTACTGGGACCAATTGACATTTTATTTAGGGATCACTTTCTCGAGATGCTTTTGGAGTCTTAGCTTTTCATACTTTAAATGATGGGGGCATTGCTTGATTTGGAAGACAAGGGAAGAGGACAAAATACGAGTGAAAGGCACTTTGTTTCTATCCACGTGTGCTGTCTCATCATGCACGCTATAAATAAACAAGTTAAAACTAACGGTCCAAACCACCAGGCCGGGCACGGGAGGGGGGGTGGCCTTGGCAGGTGTTTATGCTTCAAAACGACACCAATCATTGCGTATCATGAACCGTTGTATAGCATGATTATTCAATACCGCCTTATATTATTGGGTTGTTACCTGGGAGAACCCGCCTCCAAAAACCCAGAACGAGCTCTTAGATCTTGGTGGGTTGTACATGCTATTAGCGCCGAAACTTTATTTCTATAATTAAAAAGAATTGAATTGTATGGTTATTGATTTTACATTACTTGATTAATTTGAAGAATTTAAAGATAATTTAAATAATGTTAAAAATATAAGTTAATTAAAAAAATTAAAAATTATATTTTAAAAAAAATATAATGGCAAAAACATATTGGTTCAACCAGAATCAACTCAGGTTAAATTGTTAAATCAAAGACTTGGATCATGAGATCAAAATAATTTCATAAAAATAAATTAAAATAAAAAATAAAACTCAATTCTAAATTAAATCAATATTAAATCATAAAATTAGAAAAATCAATTAGAAAAACAAATAATTTGAGCTAACTTATCAAAGTTACATCCCAAATTATGTAACTAGGATAACTTCATAGAAAATAGATCAAAATAAATTATGAAACTCAATTTCTAATAAATTTAATGTTAAGTGATGAAATTAAAAAAATTTAAATTAACTCAGGTCAACCTGCAAAACTCATGATTTAGTAATGAGACAAAGATAACCTTATAAAAAATAAAAAATAAATAAAAACACAAAGCCTGATCTCAAATCAATCAAATATTAAAGGATAGATTTTTTTAAAAAAATCAACACAAGGAGGACAAAAATCCTAGTTAACCCGCGACTCAAGATTAAAAAATTCAATGTTGAAGAATAAAATTAAAAAAATAAATTAAAAAATAACTTAAGTCAACCTGGTTTAATTTGTAAAAGTCATAACTTGAGTAATAAGCCCGGGTAACTTTATAGAAAGAAAAAAAAAATAAAGCCTAAATCCAAATTAATCAAATATTAAAGAATTAAATTAAAAAAATAACTAAAAAATACATAAAAAATTATAGCTAACTCTCTAAATTTATGACCCAGATTATGAAATCGAGATTAACAAATCTAATATTAAATGATAAAAATTAAAAAAATTAAATCTTAAAAAAAAAAACAAAGCATTGTTTAAGTGAATAATGCTTTATAGGAAGAAGGACAAAAATAAAATTTCCTTCTAGTTAGTTTATGCTAGGTTATTAATTCGTGTTATGTAACGAGTTAAATTATTATTTTTAATTTATAAAAGAAATATTTAAGTATTGCTTATATCTATATAATTAAAAAATTAAACCATGTAAATATAAATTTAATATAATTTAATTAAATTTAATAGACTTAAAAACAAGATCTTGGTCTGGACTCAGAGTCAAGGCATGTGTCTGATAAATAATAACTCAGGTCCAAACCTAGGTATAAAGATCTGGCTAGAACTTCCAATAGCTTAGCAATTTTTGGGGCTACGGCACTCTGATTTTTTGGCATAGACTACTTCTATCACGGATCCTTTTGTTTCCGGGCCCATGGCCCCTCATTTAAACAATACTTGTATGTTAAAATACTACTTAATATTAAGCCATTGTTATATAAAAGGGTAAAAGTCCGCTATATCTATGGGCTTAGCCCAGTATTAGAAAAGAGCCCAAAATATCCTGGGCTCATTCCAGGCCTAGTTGTGACAGGCCGAAGGTAGAAAATAGAAGCGGATCGGATTCCTTCGAAAATTACTTGTATGTGAAGAATCCATCTATATTCCGACGACGAAGCACGGTGGACCCCAAAGCAAGAAGAAGTTAAAGTTGGAGTGTCGATTCCAGGTGGCAGCAGTCAGAACCACTACAACCTTATCCCACATCGAAAATCTGATCTCTTCTCGTTACACGATATCCAAAACCGTCCAATGGCCTTGGCTTTATCGCAAGCACAAGCATCCAAACCCGTTTTCTAGACCACAAAGCCCACCAAACGGAGGTTGATACACTGAACAAACAACCTTCAGGGAGTGAAGAAAAAAACGACCATGGCCTCCACTTCATGCTTCTTGCACCACCATGCACTAACCACTCCTGCTAGATCAACCCCATCATCACAACGCCAAGTGGCTAACCTCAAGCCCACCCAGCTGGTTTGCAGAGCCCAAAAGCAGGCAGTACAGGAGGAGGATAATGGTGCTGTGTCTCGCAGATTGGTTCTCACAGTGCTCATTGGTGCTGCTGCCCTTGGCTCCAAGGTAGCTCCTGCTGATGCTGCCTATGGTGAATCTGGTAATACATGCATGCTATGCTCCTTATTTATTTCTTGGCTTAAATCTGCTTGTCCTAATATTTAGTCGTCTTAATTGAATGAGGACTCTATGCGGGTTGCTGCTTAAATTGTTGCCATCATATATATCTCCGGGGACAATCTCCCCAGCTCTTCCAATACACTTAATAAGTATCCAGTTTCCACGAGAATCAATCAAATTTTGTCTTAATAAGTTGATATGGTCATTTGCAGCCAATATTTTCGGGAAGCCAAAGACAGACACAGATTTCTTGCCCTACAATGGAGATGGATTCAAGTTGTCAATTCCATCAAAATGGAATCCAAGCAAGGAGAGAGAGTTCCCTGGTCAGGTTCTTAGATACGAGGACAACTTCGATGCCACCAGCAACGTTTCTGTCATGGTCATCCCAACCGATAAGAAATCCATCACCGACTACGGTTCCCCTGAGGAATTCCTCTCCAAGGTAATGCATAACCCCCTTTCCTAATCTTAATCCAGTAGATTAATATAGGAGTTCAAATCGACGTTGAAAGACTTTTTTAATTAATATCAAGCTTTCTTTCAAAACCTGAATTATTTTGGTAAGATGGTAGAATATTACTGACAAATATTTTGCTCTGGTCACTGCAGGTGGATTTCTTGCTTGGAAAACAATCCTCCTTGTTTGCAACCGCATCTGAGGTACTGTCGAAACAACCAAGAGAGAGAGATAGAGAGAGAGAGAGGGAGCATTTCTTGATAACTTTGCAGTATAATTCATTTGATTTCTCATGTTGTTTGTATGAAATGCTAAACAACTTCTCTAGCAGGGCAACAACGGATGCAATTGTCACACGTCGAGCTATTTTCTGTTTTTATCAACCCACAGTTCTTATATGATGTGAATCTGAACTGATCATGCAGGGTGGTTTCGACCCCAACAACGTGGCAACAGCTAACATATTGGAGACATCAACTCCAGTGATTGGTGGGAAGCAATATTTCTTCTTGTCAGTACTGACAAGGACTGCTGATGGAGATGAAGGTGGCAAGCACCAACTTATCACAGCCACTGTGAAGGATGGTAAGCTTTACATTTGCAAGGCACAAGCTGGAGACAAGAGGTGGTTCAAGGGAGCAAGAAAGTACGTGGAGAGCACTGCAAGTTCTTTCAGTGTTGCTTAAGAGACTTAACTAAGGAATTGTATGTAAATCATATTTAAATCTATGATGTTTGTTTTGAATTGTTGTCGAGGCTCTCCTTTTCGCTAAGATTTTAAAGAGAGTGCTGATTAAGGGAGTTGGGAGAGGGGTTCAAGAAACTTGATTATGCAAGGTAACGGGTTACTTTTTGTGTTTAAAGGATAGAAATTACTGCCCCAAGACGCTTCACAAAATGCTTCTTGATGGAGAACAAAAACATCAAATAGCTCTTTCTAACAAAACACATCGAATCATTTCTTGGGGGGGGGGGGGGGGGGACCCACACCAATTTACAGGTTCTGTCCAAATGTTTTCTTCATCACCAGGGCAAAATAAGACCAGCTATCTAATGCACAAGAACACCAGGTCGGTTTGATAGATGCCCTTAATAGCCAAAATCTACATTCCATTAATAAGGTGGCCTTCTACACCATAACATCAGAGGCATGGTGCCATTAGATATCAAATCCCGATGACTTGAAAACCAATGCAATGAGCTTGAAAACCACTGCAAATTTCTTGCAACAATTTCAGCCAACGAGAATTACAGATGCAAGAGAAACTATATGGCATCACAGGTGATGTACATGGTCATACAGGTGAATGGAATCAATACTCCGTCTAATCTGTAACTATAATAACATCACCCCATCATATAAATAAATGCATCAACAACATTATTATTTTCTTGGCCTTTTAAAAATTAAGGAAAGAAATCATCCAAGGTTAAAAATGATTGGGAATTTATTATCAGCAAGTCGCTGCACAGTTCACATGCTTGTTTGATATGAATGTCTGCTGGAAACAAATTAAAGTATATACATGAAAGCAATGGTCAAGGAAAATGAGTATTTATCTGAAAATATCATGCTTGGGTATCTTTCAAGTCCTTCCATTGCAGTAGTGGATGCCATTGCATTGAGCACTCTTGTGCTTCACCTGCAAGGCATTTACACCCCATATTCGAATGGTACGATCATCACTAGCGATGCTAACATGTGTGGATTTGCTGGATTCCAGCTCACGCAGTTAACTGCTCCTGAATGACCTGGCAATGCCTCTACAAGCTCTCTTGAGGCTCTATGCCACAAATATATCTGCAGATATAGATAATTTGCACTTCAAAAAGAAATGATAACAGCACTTCAGAATGTCACTAGAATATAAAATTAAATATAAAAAAAAAGAGTTTTATCTACCCTTGTAATAAACATACATTTCAAACACAGCAAGCCTAAATTCATCAAAATGTGCTGAACTTAGTTACCTGCATCCCCTATTCATAAACCAATTGCCCAAAATGACAATAGCATGACAAGCAAAGGCTCTTTTACGAGATGAGATTCCAGAATGTTCCAACAGTTTCTTCTTACATGTGTAATTACAATACCATACAATGAACACATCACAACCTATATGGAAACAAATTTCACAATACAACAGAGAACACAGGCCAGAAATTTCCAAGATTCCTGGGATTTATATTGTGGTGTGTTAACACTCCACATGTGGCTAAATATTTTAAGACTCTTGATTTCTTACTCTAATTTCCATAGAACAATCACCGGTCAAATAATAAGTACTATTAAAAGTATACTAACAAGAACATGCAAAAAGAGGTAGGCCTAATGTCCTCATCGACAAGTCTAACAATTCCCGGAGTGTTTTTCCCTCGGTTATTCATAAAAGAGGCTGTTTATGGTAGGATCTTAACTATAAATATTAATATCCTAAAAAAGGCGTAATCCTGATAAATCAGTGCTCTGTGCAAGAAAAAAAAAAAACCCAGCAAAATCGACCAATGGCCTTCTGTTACACATTTATATTAAAAAATAAAGCTGAAATGCAAGACATTTTCCATTCATTCAGATTTTATTTTATTTTATTATATTTTGATAATGGATGATTTCTTAATCTTGGCTGGTTACTCATTTTGTGTGTGATTTAGTTTTTAGTGTAGAACAAACTTTTTCACAAGTATGTTTTTATCCATATAAAGGAATGTTATTCTATGAAAAAAAATAAAATAAAAGTGATAGGGACATTTGATAAATTTATAAAAATGCATATGAGTATATACAAATACCTGTAACTCTCCATGCGCATCTGAGCTATTTCTAAAGGTTTCTGGTCACAAAACTGTCAATGTAATTTCCATTTTTTCCCTCCAAAAAGAACAGGATGGAATACCATACAGGTATGGCAAATTGTTGATATAATAATATGCAGAAACATTGCAGGACATGTACACCAAAACAAAAGCCTTACAAGCTTCTTCTGGGGTTGAAGGTGTTGTTTATGAAAAGTAGATTTCTCTAAATTATTCTCTAGGTTATCAATTAGAGCTAGTCAGTATCTGTTATGATTTTTATGCATGATTAACGGGGCAGGATAAATAATTTCAGCATCATACAAATTTAAAAGAAACTACAGTATGGGCAATCCTCTGGCTCTGATCTACATGAGATCTCAACTGCTTAGGAACAAACTACACGATCAGTTACCTAAGAAATGTACAAACAAATTGACTTCTTAAAAAAGGCAAGAACTAACATGCAATATTTGATTCAAATAATGCCCTTCTCTTGATTGACCTAACCAGATCATTACCAAACACCTTTCGAGATAAAATGGGTTAAAGAAGAATAGAAAAGGAAATATTCCACACAAAATTTTATGGTTTACGCACAAATAGATGAACAAAACATCTGAATTTCTTGTATACCTTTTGAACTTAAAGAAAAAGAAAGCTACCGAAAAATCCATACCTGAGAGTCCTCACTACCACTGGCAATAAAAGCTTGTTCATGTCCCCCAAAACATGATCTAATAACAAACCGGCTACGCTTATGGCCCTTGTATGTGGCAACAAGCCTGATATCACCATCTATATTCCAAAGATGAATTTCCTGGTTCAGAAGATTAACTAGCAAGAACCTATTATCCCATGATAATGAGAACGAAGTTATTGCTTGATCCTCTTCAATCACTCTCTCAACTTTAGCTTCTCTATCAAGTAATAGTAGTGCAGTTCCTCTACACATACTTATAATCTGCTTCCCATCACTCGTTATCTCTAAATCAGAAATCTTCAAAGTTCGCTGCCCTTTCCAACATTCTACCTCTTTCCCGTCCAATTCCCACATGCAGATGCTCTTATCATTGATGCCAGAAAATATCCATTTCCCGTCTGGAAACCACCCACAGGATACCAGGCCAAGGCCCACTTTCTCATAAACCTGGAGGCACTCACCAGAAGAAACATCCCAGCGCCTGACAACCTCCTCCACCCCACAAGTGAGAAGCTGATGGTCATCAGGACTCCAAGAAACAGAGGAGACAGGCTTTTGGTGACCAGATAATCTATGCTTCAAAGAAACTCCACCACTTACATCAATCTGGAAAACATGACAAATTAATTGGCACATATAAAATTGTTTCATAAGCAGAGTGACATGGATGCACATGGGCCTTTAGCAGTCCCTAGTTCTTTGGATAAATCAATGGTTGTTGAGAGAGTTGCACATAGTGTACAAGGCATACCCTGTGAAGCTTAGAAATAGTAATGGGAATTAAGATTTGATTATTTAAGAATTTTAACAGTGTATGATTACTATGGATGCATAAACAGAGAGATCAGTTTTTTCTGACATCATATGAAAAACCTATTACTGAATATCCCAGGCAGAATGTTGCAAACAAAACCAAATAAAATATGGGAGAAGGGACATGAAAATACAATTGAATAACAGCATAAAATACTAAAAATAAATGATTATACCTCCCATATGATTGCTGATTGATCGCTAGAGGATGAAGCTAAGTATTTCCCATTATGTGAAAATTGTAAGAACCAGACTTCATCTGAATGTGCTTCTAATATCTGTTCCAGTGGGAATAAAAGAAAGACTCAATCTAGTGCTGCCAATAATAAATAGAAAGCAACTGAAAATGAAAAGGAGTGGTCTGCCCATCGAAATAAAATCCAAAGCAAAAGCAAAACAGGAGGATTATAGAATAAAAGAAAACCATCAGTTCACAATCCTTATGAGTGGACAAGCATGCTCTTCATTCACAAAAGAAATAGCCATTAGGCTAACATTTTAACGCTATTAAGAATAGTATAGGGTACATCAGCCTCTACATACTGAGTAAACCACATATATTATACTCTTCAGAACAAAGTGGAAGAACAAAAGAACCAACAAAGAAGAATCAGGCAGGTGTAAGGACAAAGGCATGAAGAGTAAACCAAGGCCAAAGGCATTCAAAAAATCTAACATGGGGACTGAATCAAGAAATACCTACACAATGTAGTTATTTTATGAAATCCTTGTAGAACTTAAAGAAGAAAGGGTTCATAAAATTAACTTCATGGAAGATAGCAGTTCAAGTATCTTCCTAGCAGAATTCCCCTCAAAATAACTTCTAAAACTTGCTAGGAAGCACTTTTCTCTAACCTAAACAGGGATTAGTTAGTTTGATGAACAAATTATTACAAATTCAGGCACTTTTCTCTAATAAGACATTGCACTTTCAGGATTTTCAGTTCCACAAAAATATATATATATATATATTTTTTTTTAAGAATGTCACTAAAAATAAGTTTTAAATCTAACCAAGAAGCACTTCATTCAAACTTGAATAGGATTACTAAAAACATACAAATTAATCACATTAATCAAACTATCCCTCTTTACTTTCCCAATAAAAAGATGACGTGACAGATTTATTCAACTTTGATTACTCTTCCAACCCCACCATTTTTTTACATTTCGACATTAAGAAGATAATAGCTCTGCATAACTAAAATTTGGTCAAACCAAGCAAAAACTAACAGTTAACAAAGAAAAACTCTGCAGCATGGAATAAAATCTTAAGCCAAAGAATGAAATAGCGAAAGACCTCCATATAAAGCTACTGTTCCCAATCATGAAAATATGCCTTAACCTGCAAAGTTCGAGAAGGAATCTGATCTCTTCCACACTGATGATCCGAGTATAAAGACATTTCTTTATCCAATAAGTTGTGGAAGATGCAAGCATCCTT